TTTATACCACATTTCTCTGCACCCTCCTATGATAAGCAGGCAACAGACTACTAAATGCCCAGACCATTGCTCAGATCACCCACAAACCACAAGCCTTTCTGGAAATCTGGAAATCTTACTCTGAAGCCTGGGACTGTACCAAGCCAACAGGCACTCCAGGCCTGTGCAAAATGGAATATGCTCCTTGGCCCAAGAAGAGCCTGTGCAGCACAGTGCACACCAGAAGCCATCAGTTAATCAAGGAGGCCAGGTGAGATGAGGACATTGGACCTACATCTCCATCAGGAGACCAGGATAGTTCTAATGAGAAGTGGTTATACTTCAGAGCAGCGTGCTGCAGGTCAGGGTGAAACACCAACGGGAAAGACCAGCTGAGCTCAGACAGGTTGGAGCCACCTTTGTCTTCTCAGCACATTCTTCTGTTCAGGTACTCTGTTCTGCCAAAACCCACTGCCTCCAGCCCTTGGCAAATTTGGGTCCCCATGCTGAGGCTGCCATTCAGAAACGCAAGCAGGGACTCACCTGAGGGATGGGGGGTAGGAAGTACCCCGCTGGAGGCTGGAAGGAGCCAAGGAGAGGGCCAGGCAGGGCCCTCATGGTGGCTAATCTCTGCATATACTGGTTGGTGAGAATTGCTTTCCGCTCTTCTTTTCTTTGTGCAAGTGCAACGTAGAGAGGCTTAGTGCTAACGATCCGTCCATTCATTTCTGTCACGGCCTTGGTAGCCTCTTCTGGGGAGGAAAAACATACAAACCCAAACCCTTTGCTGTGTCCACCCTCTGTCATCACCTAAAATTGGATTAGAACAACACAGCTAAGTGCACAGATCACCACACACCACCCGCGAAGCACGGCGCAGTCAGGGGGACACGCGGCCTCTAGCACGAGAGGGGACCAGCCTCTCCCGTGCCAGGCTGGCAGTGGCATCTCCGAGCTGGGGCACAAGCAACAGGCACCCAACTGCATCTGCCACAACCAGGACGAGACAGCTCGACACGGAGCTGTCGTGGGGCTCAGCTCCTAGCTCGGCTGCGTGAGGCTGGCAGGGGCTATGCCCACTGCGGCTTGCAGAAACTTCTGCAGGGCAAGGGGAGAGTTTGCTCAGATGGAACACATTCATTTGCTAAAACAAAGATGCTGGGGCCTGGGCCAGCCTGAGATCTGCAACCCGTGATCTTTCACAGGCTGTGCCAAAGCCCTGTCAGACCCCCAGGCCAGCAATGCTCTAGCACCTAATGCCTTTGGAAGAAGGGTTATGGGTCAATGCAGCACCATGTCCTGCTTGAGGGCCAAACATAGCATGCGTTTCTCATAGTTGACAGGTACTTGACCTTAAAGCCAAATTATTCCTCTGCACCCACACGCACAGCCTTCTAGAAAAGCACTTTGGCAGCAAGACTGACACTTTTGCATTTTCCCAGAAACCAAAACGCCAGTCCGTCAGTCAGGAAAACTCTGCTCTCCCTAGATCAAGCTGGCTTTTGAATCATTTCTATTTGTACAAATGTCACCTTGCTCCTGAACTACATGAGAAGCTGTGCAGTATTCAGAACGACGTGACTTTAAGGTCCCATATCCTGTAATTCTTCAGGCCTAGGTTAACTCAGTAACATTACGAAGGCTCTTTGAATTAATAAACTTCAAAGCAGAGTTGGATACAAGCGACACATGATCCTTCATACTTGGCTTGAGGTACAAACCATCAGTGGGGAATTATAACTCAGCAGGACGATAATTCCTTTTTAAAGGGCGTTGTGAAGGGCTGAGCACAACGGCTAGCGCATCCCCAGGAGCCCTAGTGACAGCCCAGCGCTCTCACCTTTGCGCTGGTGATAGTGCCGTACGGAGAAAACTCCTTCCTCAGCCTCTCATCATCTATTCCGTCATCCAGGTTCTTCACATACAAGTTGACCCCCTGCAAACGGGCAGAAAAGCAGCTTGGGTTACCCCCAGAAGTACAGCAGGCTCCCAAAGTTTACAGTAGTTTTTGAAGCTGATGCAGGTACTATCAGCAGCTTAGCCTAAGGGTGGGACAACCCACAAATACACCCTCTCCGGAGTCACAGGGAAGTCACTCACTTGCAGAAGAGGAGCCAAGACTGCACCCATGCTTTGCTCATCAGTGAGATGCTCTGAATGAATGGGGTTCAGACTGTTGCAATAAAATTGATCCAGAACCTCAGGAAGCCTCCTAATTTCTAAAGGAATACTTTAATTCCTGGAAAAAAGACTACCTCTTTGTTTGTCTGCCAACATCATCCTGCGTTTAGAGGTCTCTTCCCAGTACTGCTTCCCTATAGCCCGACTAGTCTGTTTTATTGCATAAGTGACCCAGCACACAGATCTGGGCAGGACAGCCCGAAACTGTCTCAAAGCTGAAGATATTTGCCAAGGCCCAGTAGATGTCCTTAGTGGGAACCTGCAGGGCAAAGCAGCTCTGCTCTCCTCCCCTTACCTGGTACCTGCTCACTCTCTCCTGCTTGATCTGCTCGAACTTCCGTTTCAGCTCGCTCTGGCGCTCCAGACGCTTCTGGGCTCGGCCCACATACACCAACCGCCCGTTGATCTCCTTCCCGTTCATGTCAGCCACGGCCTGCCAGCGGAGGGAACAGCTCTGAGCACAGCGGGAAGCCGCCATACCCAGCCCTCCTCTTCAACCACCACCGCAACCTGGCCCCACCGCAACTTTACTCTTGTGGAGCAGCAACTCCTCCCACTGCGAGGACTTGCCCAGGCAGGGTCTGCCCATCCAGACACCCTTGCCAATACTGATAACCAGACAAGCAAGAAGCCAGTCAACTTTCCACCCTAGGACACCAGTAGGCAGTGGCATCCTAGCAGGTGACAAGCTCAGGGCACTGCTCTGCCGAGACAGCACAGACAGCAGAGGAGCTGCTGATTGACTCTCCATAGCAAGGAATCTCTTGCCTTCTGGGCTTCCTCATGCTTCTCAAAGTTGACAAATCCAAAGCCCTTTGAGCGGCCAGTGTTGTCCATCATGACTTTAACACTTAGTGTCTTTCCTGCAACAGAAAGAAAATATCCAGACTGAAGAAGGGCACCCCCCCTCCCCCCCCCAACCGAGGGGACGCGGCAGGCGCACAGAGCCCATGATGGAGCCACAAGCAGAGCCATCACGAGAAGCCAGGCCAGCAAGGAGAGAGGAGGGCTGTGGCAGCGCAGAAGAGCGGGATAACTGGCTGGATAAGCCACTCTGATGTGGAAGAGGGAGGCTGCATGTTGCAGTGGAGATAACCCCTCACCAGCAGGACAAGGGCAGCATTTGGGAGGTACAGGGGCTGGCAGGGCAGCCAGGCCCCAAAAGGGGTTGTGGGGTCAAGTGAGGGGCAGACAACACATCTGTTGCTTAGAAACCCTCTTGCAGGAGGCACCAAAATGAAAGGTCCATGCTCTGTTTTTAATGCTAGAAGCCTGTGTAATACTGACCACACGTTGGCATTTCAGTTTCTTTGGCCAACAAACCAACCCAGATACTCTCATGTCCTTAACACGTGAACATGTAACTTGTGAGTACCTTCACATGCACCCAATGCATCTGAGCTAGCGCCAGTCAAGCGAGGACAGCATGGTTTGTGCATTGGCACAGCTCTAAACCCTTTCCTAAGAGACATCCCCCATTAGGGGACTGAACTGAAAAAGCAACTTTTGCTTTAAATTCGGACTCAGCAGCTCTTATTCCTAGGGCTCCTCTAACCAGACTGTATGCTGGTTTCAAGCACATTTCAAGAAACTTTTCTTACCCAAGAATGTAAGAACTTGTTTAGGGATGGCACCCAGTACAAGCTATCCTCCACCGCAGCAGGAAAGGGCACGTAGCATCCTGACAATGTAAGTACCTGTAGTCCTTTGGCTATGTGGTGGTTAAGTAAATCAGATCACAAAAAACAAGAGAAGGGGCCCTTTATTCAATCAAGCACTCTCCCTTGTCCTTCTTTGCAGCTGCCCCAACTCCAGTTTGCCAGACATTAGGATGTTTTGCTCCAGCAACTGTACTCACCAAACTTGGAGAATATCTCCCGCAGTCTGTCATCATCCATGTCATCCCCAAAGTTTTTGATGTAGACATTGGTGAATTCCATTGCCCTAGCCCCAAACTCCGCCTCACGCTCTTTGCGGGATTTAAAATGGCCAACAAATCTGCAGAAAGCAAGCAAAGGAACATGAAACCCTTCATAGTCTCTGCAGAGACAGGACAGACACAGGGCATCTGTCTCAGTACAGGCCAGGAGAGACCCCGCCACTGTTGGCAGTGGTTTGGTCATTGGTAATTCACCATGTCTTTTGTATCCAGCACCTCCAGCAGGTCTCGCCTGGGCGTCCTCCCCTACACTGACGCCACTTGGCACTACTGAAACAGGGAGAGTGCTAATAAAGGGAGTAGCCCACTCCAGAAGCAGCTGGAGGCTCTCCCTCCAGGAGACCCCAAAGGGCCCAAAGAAATGCCACCACGCACCAGGTCTCTTCTTCCAAGGTATCTCCAGGTCCCTTGGACAGCTGCTTGCCCTGGTGGAGGAGGAGACTTATAGAAGCAGCCCATGAAATCAAAGATGATGTAATGTAGGCAGAGGGCCAAAGAACACTGAAACCTCTTCCTACCCCAGACTATCTGACCTCGATAGCTGAGAATTAAGACCAGTGCTGCTTTGTGGGCATTTATTATGCTGCCTCGGCAATAAAACACAGCCCCAGGTTGGAGTCCTTCCCCTTGGTGGAAGGGCTCCAAACCGCTATGCGCTCACATCAACATTAACTATGAATGACTCGGTGCTCAGGAGCTGAAGCAGCTCAATGGGGAAGAGCGAAAAAGGGGAAGCAAAGAGATGGGAAGCAGAAAGAAGCAGGAGGCAGAAACAGCAGCAGCCTTTGCAGGGCACACGTTCGCTCCCTGAGCATGTGCCTAGCAACCAGACCCAGCAAGGAGATCAGCGCCAAGGGCAGACCCATGGAGACACTCCTCCTCCACTTACACCTTCCGGTCATTGAGCAGCATCCCATTCATGGTCTCAATGGCTCGAGTTGCTGCCTCGTGGGTCTCAAAGTGAACAAAGCCGTAACCACGGGATCCATTTTCATCACAAACCACCTACAAAAGCAGAGCAAGGAGAGTGAGGGGGGGGCAGGGAAGAGACACACACGCTGGCTTTGCCCACGTTGGGCATGAGCAAGTTCCAGGAAAATCCACCCTCCTCTTCGAGAGGCGGTCAGCCTCCCTGACATCTCACCAAAGCCCAGAAGCCCTCCTGGGACACATGCGCTCAGCTTCCAGCAGCAGGAGCGTTTTATATTGTACCTAAGAGCTTCTGGCTAGCTGAGGCCCAAGCGCCATCGACACACAGAGCTCAGAAGGACACATAGCCTTCTTGTACAAGGACCAGGAAAAAAAACCAAAGCCACCCTTTCCCATGTAAAATACAGATACTTTTGGCTTCTCTTCAGGCAGAGGGTGGGAATTTAAAGGAAGTGAAACAAGAACACATAAATTTCAAATGGTTGGAAGATGCTGCCAAGAATATTTAGAAAAGTCCTGTAGGGCAATCTTGGGGTTTTTTTGCAGCATGCACACTCCCCCACACACCTACCTTGCAAGACAGGATATTTCCGAAAGCCGAGAACGTATCGTACAAGGCTTTGTTATCAATGGAGTCATCCAGGTTCTTGATGAAGACGTTTCCCACCCCCGACTTCCTGAGCCCGGGGTCTCGCTGGGACCACATGATTCGAATGGGCCGGCCTTTGATCACTTCAAAATTCATGGTGTCCAGGGCTCGCTCAGCTGGCAGAAACATGCATGTTTGATAGCAAGAAAGTAAACATAAGGGGAGAGGGGAACACAGTACAGACACATCCCTGTCCACATCTTGCAGCAGCTGAGACAGACGTGAGAATCAGGGATCCTGCTGGGCAGAAGTTTAACTTAAACCAGAGAGGCAATTTGACAAACTCAGCACTGCCCGTTCCAGAAACGCTGGCAGCGGTGCCGGGCAGGGGGTCGGCTCTCATCACCTCCACACCACCAGCCACACCACCTCTTTTCATTCTCAGCTTTTCCGGTAATAACGGACAAAGCACATCAGACTCCCGCAGCCTCATTTATTTCACTGCAATTTCAAGTTTGGCAGCTGCCCAAGACGTCGGTGCTTTACAAAGTAATGGATTTTGGTCTCCAGGGCAACTAGCCTACCACCTTCCCACTACTGCTATCTCACTCTAAAATGCAACAGCTTTTGAGTTTTTTGCCGTTCACTTCAGCATCGCTGCAGTTACTTGCGAGAACGGTCCTTGCCGCTAGGAGCGGTGTTGAGAAGAGGGGTCTCACCTCTCCACGGCTGTGAGACGGCACGCTAGCAGGCTGCCCAGGGAAGGGCAGAAGTGCTAGCAGCCATTGGGATCAGCATCCAGGTCAACCACCACATCCTCCTTTTTCCACCATCCGTCCTTCCCTCTCTCGCATCACCCCAAACCCCCAGTTGTAAAGGAGTATCACCATCAGGTTTGCATTACACAGAGCGTACCATCTGCAGGCTGCTGGAAGTTTATGTAGGCGTAGCCCAGTGACCGGCGTGTGGCGACATCCCGACAGACGCGGATGGACATTATTGGCCCAGCAGGCGAGAACTTCTCATAGAGCATGGCCTCGGTCACGTCTGGGTGGAGGTCTCCCACGTAGAGAGAGGCTAACGGATATCCAGGGCCACTAGCATTCATGGTCGACCACAAAGCTTAACTGCGAAGGAAGACAGACCCAGTTACTCAGGAGCAGTGACAGCAGCCTCCTGTGTGAGCAGAGCAGGGGTTTTGTATCGCTTGCAGCAACCACGGACCGCTGGAGCTGATCCCTGCCTGCCGCCCAAGCCAGAGTTGGTCCCACTGCAGCAAAGGGAACCATGCATTTTCCACCAAAGTTACAACCAAGAACGTCCCAAGGACACTGCAGTTCAAGTTTTTCAGGGACATTTCAATATCAGTACAAAAGCCACGCTGGAATGATTTGCCCGAGTCACAAACCCCGACACCTGGGGACTGACAGAGATGCAACATGTGCTCTGCACGCACCAACTCCTTTCTTTCAACACCCAAGCACTGACTGAGAGAAATAAGTGGAGTTTCAATCCTTCAGAAGTAAATAGCCCTTCCCCACTGCACGCTTCCATTTTAATCCCTTCTAGACCATTTCCTCCAGCCTGTTCTCCAGGCAGAGCAAATCCAAGGAACATGGACCTGCTTTGATTCAGTGGAGGTTCCCTAACAGGGAAACCAACTTTCCCAGAGCAACCCTAGCACCTGCATCGGTGCCGTTCCTCGCACTGCTGCGGCCACCAGCCCCAGCACTCGCTCCCTGCGGCCATCCCGGTGGAGAACGAGGCAAACGGCCCCCATCTTTACTCAGGACCTCCCAGGGACCACGTCCTGACTTGACCACGTCTCAGCTTGCTGAGAAGGACCCAAAAGCTCAAAGAGTGGCGTTCAGTCTCTTGCTATCGTTAATCGGGTATAAAACCCTGCATGAAGATGCCAGTCGCTGCTTGGGATCTGCTAAGGTACTGTTTGGAAGAGAGAAGTGCAGTCCCTACCCCCAGACGTTTACGAGCCAAACTTCGGAGCTCTTGCCTTAAAGCTCCCAAGGCAGTTGTTAAGATGCCCTATGAACGCTCAAAATAAACGGGCGAGCACAGCGGCGGCGAAGGGCTCAGCGGGGGCGGAGGGGGCCGCGGCAGCGCTGCGCTGGCCGCGCCCCAGCCCCAGCCCCAGCCGCGCCGCCCGGCGGCGGCGGGACAACCGCGGGGCCCCGGCGCGGAACGCGC